GAATTCTGGAGTGAATTCTGGAGTGAATTCTGGAGAAACATTATCAGACATAGGCATATCGTACACAGGGCAAATGCTAGGAAAAATCAAGAAATCCAGGCAGATTTAAAAAATGTTAAATTCAGGCTATTCCATTTCAATCCTCAATGGTATCAGAGTCATGAATAGCCAGACTGCAAAGTTGGTCAACGTTGCACTCGATATTTTTTTAGGCACAAATTTCAGCGCACCTGGGATGTGCTTTATAACAAATTTTGCAATTTAATCTGCCCTCAAATCTCTAATTTTCATTGTTTTTAAAACGTATCTCGCTACTTTTGTGCCCTTGACTGCATCTTGATGCGCACTTGGGAACTGTTTTGCGCACCCGCACTTCGATTTTCTAACATTTGCGCACCCGAGATCTCGTCGAAAAGTGCCCAACTCTGCAGTCTGGATGAATAGTGTGCTGCCGTACGACAAAACACCAGTATGAAAATTGTTATAAGTCTTATAAAAGTCAGTTAAAGTGTGCTTAAATTTCCGCCTTGAAAAATCGTGGGTGCGATTTTGACTAGTCTATTACTCTGCTGTCGGTCACACGTGGTGACATCGTCTCGATATTCTAGTTAAAATCGCAAATTGGCGTTTTGATTTTTACCCATATACTCAAATTAATTCACCCAACATGACACTACGGAGATTCAGACGAAAAATGTTGAAACTTACTTGCACAGCTAAGGACAATCCCTCATCCACAAGAAAATTGAATGATCCAATATGCGGCAAATACAAATCTTGCACGGCCTAAAAAACATTAATACCACATGCACAAACAGAAAAATGTTTGAAACGTGAAGCAAGATTTTCTTTACCTTATATTGGCCGTTTTTGAGCTTGCTATATTCAGGTGAAGTGAGATTTCGTAGCGAAGGCAAACTTTCTGCTTCATTTTCGTCCGCCATATTGTATTTTACACCCGATTCGAATGCTGGCGACTCCAAAGCGCAGAAATAGTCGCTGAAAAGCCAAATTTGCCTTTTCCCAAAAGAGATCACAGTGCATTCTGGGATCGTTTGGAGGTGCTATGGGCCTTATGGGGGGTCGGCACGAAGCTCTAGGAAGATGTTCTGTGATTGGTTGATTATGACAATAATAAGCTATAGAATGGATTTTCTAAAGAACAAAGCAAGAACAATATTCCTTTTGTTTATGTAAGCCAATTACGTCTTTTGTCATTGTCATAATCAACCAGTCACAGAACATCTTCCTAGAGCTTCGTTTTTACTGGCTATGGGAGGTGAAAGAGTAGAAGTATCTACTATCAAATATCAACTTTTTAGACGACCAAAAATGAAATATCTTCTTTTTACATTCATTAATTAAACATTTAATTTAGGGCCTCACGGCCGCACGCGACCTTCATAGGCCCCAACCAGGGCGCTTATATATAAGCGCCCTGGCCCCAACCAGTGAAGGCCCCAACTTCGTACCCAGGCCGATAAGCCCTGGGATACACGGAACCGGAAGTGCAAGAAAACTTGCACTAGTTTCTAAAGCGCATGCTAGTGAATTCGGACGCTTCAGCACTCGTAACAATTTTTACAGACAAGTATTACGAAGAAAAGTATTTGTGTTGACGTATTTTGATAGAAAAATTTTTCCTGGCGAAAATTGCTCAACTTCTGCGAAATAGCAGTTATCTGAGAAGTCAATCAGATCTCTCCCTTTAGTCGTCTAACCCAGAGCCTAATTTTCAAGGAGTGACCGAGTGTAAATGGCTCTGGGGATACTGGAACGTGAAATCTCCGACAAGGGATTGGCGCGTCTAGACCCAGGACTTTGGGAAATGGCCAATTGATTACAGTATTTTTGGCCGATTGTAAGTGCCTAATCCGGAGCAGGCGGAGAAGCTATGCCGGCAGGAATCGCACTTACTTACGATTCCGGTGAGACGCCCATAATAATCCTAATATTTACCCATATATAGCTACCTTAATTACCTTGGCAAGAGCTCGACAACTGGTCTCTGTAGCTCAGTTGGTTAGAGCGCGCTGCACAGGACTAGTGAGGAGGATAGAAGGGGGGAAGGGGCTCCACACAATATAATGGGCTTGTAATGTAATGTTAATGTAATGATTTATTTAAAGTCGTAAGCACAGGAGCTTCGTTCACTTGCGTGTCCCCACCCCCTGCCCCACTTCCAAACAGACTCCGCGATCCAGCTGGTTACCATAGCCACCCACCTCAAACTTGGTAAGAAACAACTTTGTTTTGAATTTACATGAAATATTGCCGAGTTCTAAGCTATAATTAAGTGACAGGTGGTGGTGAAGTATAAAGTGTGGCCTATTTCTTATCTGATCATTTAATTTTACCAGTGGCGGAACTAGCCATAGCAACAGGTCATGTTATGCAAATAATTTGCACCATTCAAACCTTTAGAAATGTAATGTCTTTAACCTATTTAGATGCAGGTTTATTAGCATAGCATGACCAGTTGCCATGGCTACAGTGCCGGATTAACCTTTCCAGGGCCGGGGAAGGCCGGGGACAAAAGTTGTTCAAGGGCCGGTCGCAAAATGCGAATTCGCCCGTGGCTGTGAAAATGTCCAATTTCTCCGGCTAGATCGGACATATAAAACTCATATTGCAGTTCCTCCGCTTAGAAAATGTTTCAGTTATATGTTATATTAAAAGTGCACATGTGGGTAAAGACATTCCAATATTACATCACTGAGGTACGTGAGGTTGCTTTCAGTTAACCAACGAGTTTAATTATTCGATGATCACATTATATAAACTTTTGAAGGAAAACTATAAATTTTTTTTGTTCGTTTTTTTGAGCCGGTGGAACTCTAGGGCCGGGGGCAAATGCCCCTTTTGCCCCTTGGATAATCCGGCACTGCATCGATAGCTTCGCCACTGATTGACGACTCATCCACAGTCCCTTCCTTCGCGCAATGATCCATGTAATGCTCGGTGGTTCGAATAGAACAACGGGATATTCGCTTATTTGAATATTGTGCATGCTTGTAAATAAGTTTAATTGCTCTGAAGATGTTGTTAACCGAATACAACGAAACGTTAGCCAATAAATTTTATATTTTTGTTATGTCTTGTCTGAACAAATGCTAGGCTTTAATTTTCATTTTTAAATTGCGCTTTCCACCCGATGTATCAATCAGGGCGCTTATATATATATATATATATATATATATATATATATATATATATATATATATATATATATATATATATATATATATATATATATATATATAAAATTTGGTTTTGTTGGTTATAAAAATATATATATATATATATATATATATATATATCTGAAGAGTGCCACATACTGTGGTACGAAACTATTTAGTAATAAAGATGCCTAGTGGATTTTGTTGATTTGTT